TAGAGTTGTGAAACTCTACGAATACTAGTGTTTAACGTCTCTAGCAAGACGTTAGGGCAACTCACTAATCAAATGAATCAAAAACTGGATATGAAACATCCTTATTGACCCTCGTTTCACTTTTCTCATTTAATGTCCCACTTATGACAATAAAATCATCCTCCAAAAGAATGACTTGAAAAGAAATAAAAGAGATGATATTGTTCCTTTCATCCACGGTCTTGAAAACAAAATCAATCATGATTAGGCTTGCCTCTTTGTTGTGTTCTTGAAACACATTCAAATGATCATCCATATTGATAATTGGTGAGGCATTGTTTTTCAAAGACTCATTTGGATTAATAAGAAACACCCTCTCTTCATCCCTCTTCTCCTCCTCATAAATTACCATTTCCTCACCTTCTAAGTAAGCTAAGGAGTCCATTAGAGAGTTTATTTCATTTTTAGAGCTTTTAAAGTCAAAACCACAATTTTTATACATTTCCAAAAGACATTCCTCAAGAGGGTCATTAGAGATAATAGAAAGAAGGCCCTCTTCAACAAGTTCCTCCTCCTTCTCTCCTACCTCAAGTGTGGTCAACATCTCCTTACTCTCTAGAGTAGCCATATCATAGATAAAATCAAAATCAAAACAAGGAAAGTCATCATTAATCATGTTATGTTCTATTGGATTAGCCACTAACTCACTTGCCACTTCCTCCTCTATACAAGATAGAGTGCTAGGCATTAGCTCACTTGTTTCATTCTCCTCACTCTCATCATCCTCATCTATATACATTGAAGTTCTTGCCATTTTTTCATTTGCCTCTTCCTCCTCCTCTTGATGAGAAAGAGTACTTGCAATTTGCTCAACTTGAGCTTCTAAGTTGGTTAAAGCTTGAGAATGAGAATTAATAAGTGAAGTGTGTGAAATATGCACATCAAGTAAAGCTAACACTTTTTCTTCAAATCCGGGTGAGTACTTAGAAGGTGGTGGAATTGATTCATCATAAAATGGTGGGGGAGGGTAATAGTTACAAGAAGGATTAAATGAGTGATCAAGTCCATAATAAGATGATGCATGAAATGAATTGGACTCAATCTCATAAGGATTAAAATGTGATAGAGGAGCATAAGGTGAAGGGATGTAATTCCCCCCCAAACTTGGATCAAACAATTCCTCCATTCACAATTAAAACCCAAATGCAAGAAAAAAATTGGCCTCAACAAGGGCCTATGCTTGGACAAAAATTTAGCAATAAAATGAGCCTCAACAAGGGCTATCACAAGCATACAAAGAAGTGAAACAATTAAAATACAAGAGAGCCAAGAATTGGTCACAATGGTCATTTAGCACTTCAACTCCAAATTTAGCTTTTAAGCTCCAATGATTGCTTTAAGTTCCAAAGTTCGCCTTCCTTGTAGTCAAGTACCTAATTGAACAAATAATAATGAGAATCAAGAGAAAAGAATATACAATGAAAAATAAAATAAAAATAGAAGCAATCTAATGAACACTATTGTCTAGTTTAATTCCAACAAAACCGTTAATCCCCGGCAACGGCGCCAAAATCTTGACGACGGCCGTTCCAATACGCCAAACTGAATGTAGTGAATGCGTGGTTCAAGAAAAGCCTTTTATGTTAAATTTAAATTTATAAAAACCACTACCAACACTACTACTAACGTAGCAAGAGTGAGTAGGGATCGTCCCAAAGGATTATACGTGTTGGAATTTCAACTTCGACTCTAGCGTACCAAATGATTGCAAAAGAGAATTGGGTTGGTTGATTACTTCTAGAAAAGAATTAATTAAAATGCAATAAGATAAAGAGTAAGTAAGAAGGAAAGGTCTTGGGGTAGAGATCACCACCAAACAATACTATTCCAAACCATAATCAAGTGACTAATGAGGGAAATGAATGTGTTGCAACAATGTTGTGTGTGTAAAAGACATTCAATTGGTAAGGGTGACTCAACAAGTGCAAATTGTCTCAATCAACATGTGTGAGGCCACAATACATCTATTGGTAGAGGAATATATTGTCTAGACATCATGTGAAGAGAACAAAATATCAAATCAAGTCATTGAACCTTTCATTAAGCTCATAGTCCAAGCAATCCATAAGGATGACTTAGTTAAACATGCATTATCTAAACATCATGTGAGAGGCCACAATTTATCTATTGGGAGAAGAATAAATTGTCTAAACACATGTGAAAAATACAACATATCATAACTAGTCATTAATCCTTCATTAAGCTCACAATCCACATGCAACACAATATTAGAGGAATATGTCATTTGGACTCACAAGCATGGAACATCAAACATCAAGAGTAGATTGTCCTCCCATCTAACATTACACTACCACTACACTAAATCTACACTACTAGCATGAAAATAAAGCTATCTAGACTAGGGGAGAGGCACAAGCCATCAAGAATAGGCATAAACCATCAAATGAACCAAAATAGCATTCATTAAGCATATCATCTTGATAATCTCTAGATCTATAGCATCAATACACATAGACATGCATCAAAAACACTAAATCTAGAGATAAGCACATGAATATCCCACTCTAGCATACATAGACATATGGGTAGAATAGAATAGTCAATTGGAAGCATTAAACCATACAAACCATGAAATAATCAAGATTTATATATACATGAATATCAAGATGTATCATACAACACTAATCCCTCAATAATACACAAGATTAGAGTATAGAAAGCATGCTTGGGGCTAACTCTAGCCCCAAGAGGATGTCTAGACACTCATGGTAGTGATGATCCAACCCTCAAGGGCTAACTCCATGGCTGCTCGTTGTTGGTGAAGATCTCCTCCAATGGTGCTCTAGCTTCCCTCCTTCCTCCTCTCCAAGAATAGCCTCCAAGATGATTTTCAATGTGTGACAAGAGACTCTAGACTCCTCCCCAAAAAGTGTATCATATTCCTTATATAGGTAGGTCAAATACACCCTATGATGAGCTGTGGTCGTGCAAGGCATATTCTCTAATGATTGGGTGAAGGACGGAATAAATGAGTTGGACTTTAACTTTTTCTCGTTGGAGGAAGTTCGATCGATCGAACCTTAACTTGGATCGATCGAAAATGGGTTCGATCGATCGAACTGAATCTTGGATCGATCGAAGTGGTCTGACTCCTCCGGATAAGGACAAGGCTGAGATATTTCGAAGATATTTATGGGGAAAAGGACAAAAGTGGTTGGTAGGCGTACAGCTGTGGATAAGATCAATCATTTGAATAGGACAAAATAGGGTTCGATCGATCGAAGGTGATGTTGGATCGATCGAACTTGGAATTTCAGCAAAGGCCAAGGTTGGATCTATCGAGAAGTACTGTGATCGATCATAGATGTTCGATCGATCGAACTCTAAGTTGGATCGATCGAACTTTTCAACTGCACAACTTTGATTCCTTTTTGCTCCTTTCTTTCTCCACTTTGCTCCCTCCTTTGGTTTATCTCAGGATTGCTTCAATTAAGCTCTTATTTGGCTGAGTTAGCTCAATTTTGGGATTAGTGCCTGAAAATATAAATAACACGTAATAAGTCTAAAACGGCAAAGTAAGATAGGTAAAGGTACTAGAATGCTTAAGCTTAACGGGTTTAAATGCGCACTTTTCAGTGCTCATCAATTGCTAGCTTATGGAAATCAAGACTATAAGACTACATCCGAGTTTGATTTAAAAATTGATTGATTGGATGATTTGTTTATCACTTTGAATTATGAACTGAACTTGAATAAAAATATAAAATAGAATGAATTCAAATGGATTGAAAATATAGAGAAGATGCTAGAGAATTGACTTCACCAAAACCGCACAAATATGTCTAAATGCATGCAATCAACTTGCAAAACTAATTATATATATAATCATATCGATGTGTAGGAGTACAAGACAACCACAACATCTTTAAGAATTTCATACATTCAAGAATTAAGCATAACCCATATATCTTTGATGGCATAGTTTATCCACCTAAACTAGGTTGTAGTGTGAACCATCTTCCCTAGGCATGACCGATCAAAGTCCTCAAATTATATGGTAATGCACATGTAATCAAAGAATCAAGTATAGCCTATCTTCAGTAGGCATGGTCTATCTACCTAATTATATTACTCTAAGGGTGTAGTATGGTCCATCTTCCCTAAGAATAACCTATCAAAATTCTCATAAGACATGCCAAGAAAACCATTCCATAAGCTTATCCTCGTTGTCACCATAAGAATGTAAGGAGTATAATCATGAAGAAATGAATTATAAGACAAGATGAACATCTCAACAAAATCATATATTTGAATGAAATTCAATTACATTAATGTGTAAAACAATAGGCGATTTCAAGGTATTGAAAAAAATCTGTATATTGCCATACAAAGAATGGTTTACAGTGTTTTAGTTAAATAAGAAATACAAGGAGCTAAAAAAGGAAACTACAGGTTGTACACTAACAGAATTTCCTAATTCTTAGTCATTGACTATCTATATTTACACGCCTATCATATCCCCTAAAATCCGGTCTTATTGAAACTGAATATCTCCTATTCAACACTCCCCCTCAAGCTGGCTTGTAGATGTCTTCCATAGCTAGCTTGCTTCTTAAAACTTCAAACAGTCTCTTGTGTAGTCCTTTGGTAAGGATGTCTGCAACTTGTTCAGTAGTAGAGACATAAGGAATGCAAATCATACCATAGTCAAGCTTTTCCTTAATAAAGTGTTTGTCAACTTCTACATGTTCGGTTCTGTCGTGGAGGACTAGATTATGAGCAATTGAAATGGCAACATTGTTGCCACAGTAGACTCTTATGGGAGGAGAAATAGTAACCTTCAAATCTTCAAGGAGTCTTTTTAACCACATAGCTTCGCAAATCCCATGGGCAAGTGCTCTGAACTCAGCTTCTACACTACTCCTCGCTACTACATTTTATTTCTTGCTTCACCATGTGACTAAGTTTCCTCCAACAAAGGTGCAATATCCTGAGGTAGATCATCTATCGACTGTACTGCCTGCCCAATTAGCGTCTGCGTACACTTCCACTTGCAAATGACCTTGTTTCTTAAACATACGTCCTCCATCTAGTGAGCCCTTTAAGTACCTCAGAATCCTGTACACTGCCTCAAAGTGTTCCTATCCACGAGAGTACATGAACTGACTCACCATACTGATTGCAAATGATATATCTAGGCGTGTGTGAGACAAGTAAATTAGTCTTCCCACCAATCTCTGATATCTCTCACGATCAACCACACTCTCGGGTTTGACAGCTTCTAACTTCAAGTTGACTTCAATTGGAGTGTCAGCAGCTTTACACCCGAGTAGTCCTGTCTCATTAAGCAAATCAAGCACATATTTTCGTTGATTCACGAAAATTCCTTCTCTTGACCTGGCAAATTCCATTCCAAGGAAGTATTTTAATGCTCCAAGATCTTTGACTTCAAAATCTTCAGTAAGTTTCTTCTTCAGTCTGGTCAACTCTTCAATGTCATCACCTGTCAAAATTATATCATCCACATACACAATTAAAATGGCAATTTTCCCTTCCTCACCGTGTTTGTAGAACATGGTATGGTCTACCTGATCTGATGATACCTATGACTCTTCACAGCCTTTCCAAAGCATTCAAACCACGCTCTTGGAGACTGTTTCAAACTATACAGAGATTTTTTAAGTTTATAAACTTTGCTTTAACTGTGTTTTCCTTTGAACGTAGGTGGCAAGCTCATAAACACTTCTTCTTCCAAGTCTCCATTTAAAAAAGCTTTTTTTATTTTAATTTTTTTTATTTTTATGTCCAACTGATATAATGGCCAGTTAAAATTGACTACCAACGACAATAAGACTCGGATATAATTTATTTTTGCTACAAGGGCAAATGTCTCTTGGTAATCAATGTCGTACGTTTGCATAAAACATTTCGCCACAAGTCTTGCCTTGTACCTTTCCACACTACCATCAGCTTTACACTAAATAGTGAAAACCCATTTACACCCAACAGTTTTCTTTTCTTTGGGCAAGTCAATTATCTCCCACGTTCCACTCCTTTTAAGAGCATTAATCTCCTCTAACACTGCTGATCTCCAATTCGGATCATCTAGTGCTTCCTGAATGTTTCTTGGAACAAACAAGTGAGAAATATTTGAAGTAAATGCCCTATGTTAATGGGAAAGTTTATCAAAAGACAAGTATTTGGCAATGGGATGTTGGGCACAGGTTCGAGTTCCTTTTCTAACAGCTATAGGGATATCAAGGTCTACAGGAACTTGGTTAGATGATTCTATACGATTAGAAATAGTAGGGACAACTGTAGACAAGTAAGGATTTAGAGTACCTTGAGTGTTCAGGGAGTCATTTCTCGGGACCTCTGATTGGCTTTACTCTGGTACAATAGTAGGCTCTCTACTCTTTTGATGAGTCTTTTTCCTGTTATAAACCAGAAGCTCAGGATTCGGTTTTTTTGGAATTGTTGGTAAGATTTCTCCTCCTGTTGGAGATATAGTAAGGTTCGATAGATTAGGACTAGGAGGCTCCGAGTTTCTTGATTCTAAAACATCATTTCCCTGTTTAAAAAGATCAGTGTTCGGAGTAATAGAGTGTGAAATAATAGTTTTAGGTAAGGGAATGTTAGTAGAAATCTCCCAAAAGTTTTCTTCACTCTCTTTCTCCCCTTGAAGAAAAGTTTTCTAAAAATAAGGATGATTTTCTAGAAAAAGACATCCATACTGATAAAAAAAAAAAAAAAAAAATTCAGATTGAAACATTTGTACCCCTTTTTATCCAGGGCATATCCAACAAATACACATTTTTCAGCCCGAGGATCCAATTTAGACAGAATTCTACTAGGTAAATTGATAAGGACAGTGCACCCGAATACTTTCAAAGGCGGGTTAAAATAAATTCAAGTTTCAGGAAAAAATTTTTTAAGGCTTTCAAGGGATGTAATATAGTTAAGAACACGAGTAGCTAGGCATCCTGTTAATCAAATATGATGCTGTTAAAACGGCTTCACCCCACAAATACTTAGGAACATTCATTAAAAATATGATGGCACGAGAAACTTCAAGTAAATGTTTATTCTTTCTTTCAACAATTCCGTTTTGTTGGAGTGTGTCAACACAAGTGGATTGGTGAAAAAATCATTTTTCTCTTAAAAAAACTTTCTAAAACTTCATTAAAGTATTCGATGCCATTATCAGTATGAAGAATGCCAATTTTTGTTTGAAATTGATTTTCAATCATCATATAAAAATCCTTGAATACTTTTTCAACCTCAGATTTTTCATTGATTAAATACACCCAACACAAACAAGTATGATCATTAATAAAAGTCACAAACCATTTTTTTCCTAGAAAGAGTTGTGATCCTAAAAGTGCGCCAAACATCACTATGGATTAAATAAAATGGTTTTAATGCTTGGTAAGGTTTGGGAGAATACATAGTATGATGACTCTTCGATAAAAAAACAATTCTCACAATAAAAAGATGAACAATCCAATCCTTTAAACAAAGTAGGAAATAATTTTTTAAGATAAGGGAAACTAGGATGCCTTAGTCTAAAATACCATAGCATTATTTGTTCTCTAACAGGGATAGAACGAAAACTACTCAGGCCTTGAGCCTTTTTATTACTTGAAATATTATCTTCAAAATAGTAGAGACCATCTATCACCTTAGCATTGCCAATCGTCTTTCCTGAGCTATAGTCCTGAAATTCACAATAGGATTCAAAAAAGATAACATGACAATTAGAGTTTTTGGACAATTTACTAACTGATAAAATGTTACAAACAAGCTTAGGGACATGAAGGACAGACTTAAGATCAATAATTTTTGAAATTTTGACCAAACCTTTGCCTACGATAGGAGAATAAGAACTATCGGTTATTCTGATTTTTTTAGAGCCAGGATGAATAAGTTTGAAATAAATGAGAAAAACTTATTTTATTTAATTAAAATTTAAAAAGTTTAGGTGCAAATTGAATTCGATTGTATAATTAAGTTTAATCAAAGTTGTGTTGAAACTTGAATGGGAGTCTAGTCTGAACCAAACCCAATTACACACCAACAACATTGTACCATGACGGTGGGCTCCATTTTTTGGACCATTTAGATCAGAAAGTGAGATGAAAAAGAATCAAAAGTCACTTTTGGAACCAAAATAATAATAATAATAATAATAGTAATCCGTAATAGCTAACGGCAGAATGTGTTTTGCCTGGTGCTTTTTACCCACGAAATTCTCTCAACAACTTCTTTTTTTTTTTTCTTTTTTGTTTTTCTTTTTTACGTCTAGTGTGAAATTTTTTCACTTTCAATGGTAAAATTTCACTTATTTTTATTTGTCTATAAAAAAAATAATAATAATAAAGTAAACTTTTAATAAAAAAATAAAAAAAAAATTATCACTTAAAATTTTTAAAATAATGAAGTTTATGGTGTTGAAAATTTGAAATCCATAAAAATGGTTAAATTCACCAAATTATGTAAATATTGAAATAAATATGATAAAATTACACTAAAAATAAACTCAATAAAAGAGTTCCTTAGAGTAATGGCTTAGAAAAGAAAGAACCAAATTTTCGTCGATGGGAATATAGCTTGGTGGTCCCTCCAGCCGATTAGTCATGTTTTGAAAAAGCTACTTTAATCAGTATATTGGCCGGCAACCTCTCATTTTGTATCTCTTTGTTTTCTAAAGTAAGAACATCAATGAAAAAAGTGACAAAGTTCATAATAATAGAGGTTGGCTTGCACCAATGGGCATCTTCTTTGCAACTACCAAGAGCAGTGATAGCATCACCTGGATGGACTTGCTAGCTAGGTAACTCATATACTATGATTGGATAAATTGGATAAATACACAGCTTATTGATTGGTGGTGATATAGCTAGGTCCTCCACAGGTGACAGCTTATTTTATTCACTTATTTATTCCCTAATTATTAGATACTTATGTCCCAATCTGGATAGCCATTTAAAGTGGAATGCACTCTCCCAAAAAAAACATGAATGAATAAAAAAAGACAAGCGGGATAAGCACTTGAAATGAAGTCCTACCATATTTTACCAGTATAAAGCAAGATCTAACAGATTTTTTTTTATAAATTTTAAATAGCTTTATAAATCTTAAAGAATCTTATTATATTTAGGTTTTTTTAATTATTTTTTACTTAAAATAAAAAGAGAAGCTCAAATTAGAGGGCCATAAGCTTAATCCATTCCAAATTTTGAACTTATTATTTTTTTTGTTTCATGAATTATTTTATAATCATAGATGATAAAACTTTTCTCTCATACTCTTCATGATATAATACATTCACGGCAGGGACAATCCTACAATCAATTATAAGTCTGGTTCTTATTCTTGAAACTTCATAACTTAGAATTTTAAAATCCTAGTATAATCAACCAATATAAAAGGGTGTTTATTTTATTCATACTATTTTTATTTATAAATTATGTACTAAAAAATAAAAATCTAATTAATTATTTTGCACTCCATAAACATGAAAGATGTGAAACCAATAATGATTTCCTTAGGGTGTGTTTGGTAGGGTTGATTTGGAGGGATAGGGAGGGAAAAGAAAAGAGAGGATAGTTTAAGTTTGTGTTTGGGTAAGTTAAGTGGAGGGATAGGGAGGGATAGCTATCCTTCTTTATCTCTTATTTGCTTTCTCTTTAATTTTGAGAAGATAGGGAGAGAAAGCATAGTGATTTTAAGTGGTATTTTGATAATACCAAAATTAGCCTCCACAAATCAATATACAGATTTATTATTTTATTCAAGTCTCATGATTATGAAAGGGTAAAAAAATAATTTGTCTACTATCTTTTCTTTTCTTTTCTCTCCTCTATCTTATCCAAACAAGAATAAATATCATTTCTTTTCTTTTCTTCCCTATATATCCAAACACAAATAAAAATTATTACTATTCATTCTTTTCTTTTTTTTTCTCTCATAACTAATACTGTCATTTTTTTTTTTTTTCTTCTCTGTCTATCCAAACACACCCTTAAGGTAGTAGTGGGCTTAGGCCCACCTAATTAGATGGTCTACTGATCATGATTTTTTCATTCTTGAGCAATTCCCGACCACTTACAAGATTGGATGTCTTCTATTTATACATATATATATATATATATATATATATATATTGATTTATTAGATGTGATTTATTGCTATTACCTTAAACAAGATATGACACACTTCTATTTACTCTTTGAAGATTTGATTTCTCAATAATCCGTTTAATCAAGAAAGGAAGAGATGTTAATTGAGTATAAATAAGACTAGGTGATTATTGAATATTAATTTGTTTAAGATTTTCCTAACTCGTACATATCCAGTGTCATCCATGGGCCTCTAATAAGTAAAAAATAAATAAATAATTGTGATGTCATGTAGGACAATGATAAGGATGTGGGAAGAGGAAGAGGAAGAGGAAGAGGAAGAGGAAGACTTTGACTAAAGTTAGTGGATCTAAATTCTAGCCACATGGGAATGGGGTCCCTTGCATTTATTTTCTAATGTGAAAGTCTACCAAATTTTAGCGGGTAACAATTAACTATCACCTGGTAGACATAATAAATAAATTAAAAAAAAAGAAGAAGAAGAAAGAAATCTCAAATTTTCGTGTATTTTAGGCATATTGATAGTTTTTATATCTATCAATTGGTTAATATTCGGAATATCATGGACTTTCTCCAAACTCAACATGCACACAACAAATGAAGTGAGGAAGAAATAACAATTGAGTTCAAGATTATATGATTATTGAATATAATGGACAATGAGTTACGCTGTAATAATGTTATTATCTTATTTATCACTTTTCAATGTCAAAATTTTTACTTCTAATTAGAGGGGTTGATAAAACATAAAATTAAAAATTTTATCAATTAATAAATTTTGCACCAAACCAATGCAATTGTTTATTCCTCTTTGAAGAGTAATATAATTTGTTCATTTTGCGAACATGTGCTTTTTGTTGATAAACTATAATTTAATTTGATATAGTGTAAATTGTGAAAAGTAACTTATTCATAATTATTTTAACAAATAAAATTAAAATACTTTGAGAAAGTATAAGTTCATAATTCAGATAAGTCAATTTATAATTTAAAGGACAAGAAAGTACTTTTTACTTTAATTTAGAGTGTCATTGTTTAATTTATCAAATTTAGGACCTCTTTATTTAAAAAATGTCATCATAATTACCTGTTTTTAACTTAAACCTGAGAAAGTATGTCTGAGTGTAATTTATCTAAAAATACTAATTGTAAGGGTGAGTGTAGACACTAAAATTTAGTGGGTTTTGGTTTTAACGAATGGACCCATTAAATATAGGCCTAATGTTTAAATAAATTATTTAATTTACCAGGCTTGGTCCACTTAAATTATTTAATTAGCCCAGCCCAGATAATTAAATGAAACGATAATTATTCCTAATAAAATATATTTTGAATAATTATCTTTAAGGATAATTATCACAATATAACCGGCCCGGCCCAGTTATAATTTTTTCCTTATCAGGAGATGACACGTGTCATCATCCTATTAATCCAAGAAGCCTATAAATAGAGGCTTGGAGGAAGAAAAAGGGGAGAGGATTCAGAATTCAGAAGTCTACAAATTCAGACACAAATTCAGAATTCAGAAGTTCAGAGACTCAGAAATCCAGAGACTCAGAATTCAGACACAAATTCAGAATCGAAACCCAAAAGCGAAGAACATCAAGCACATCCAACAACGTGCCGTTCTTCATCAAATTGCACAGTGATTCAAGAACAAGCTCGTGCAGCCCTTGGATCCAACCAACCAAAAACAAGGAGATCGAATCAGAGGACCATTCTTTTTTTTGTAAAAGATATTACAAAGGATTGTACTCCACATTCATAAATTAATAAAATTCTATTTTGCTCCATATTTTGTTTCTATTGCAGACTTACAAAATTTGTGTGTACAAATTTGTGGCACGCCCGGTGGGACCACCTTTGCCTCTCATCTCTTTCTCCTACCATCAAGTTTCTTCTCTATCAGATTCTATGGCTCCTAAGATTCAGACAGCCAAGAAAGCCCAAAAGAACATCGCTATTGCAAAGGTCGACGCTAAAGCCACCATGAAAAGTGGCACGAAGACCAAATTAAGCGATGGAAGAACTTTGACGGGCCCTGTGACACGTAGTAAGTCCTAGGCGATGGCGTCATTCAAACTTCAGCAAGATGTGGTGAAAACTAATCCTGCAACACCGGCGAACGTGAAAACTCAACATGTCAAAAACCTTGACATTGTTCCAGAGGAGGCTCCACCACCAGATTCACTTCGTTCTATCTATGATGCTCACTCTAGTGTCGGTTCACCCCCAGAGTCACCACGTCAGACTTCGGAGCAATCAATCACTTCAAGGAACGTGGATTCTCAAGGCCTATCATACTCAGATGTGGTTGCTGCTATGATGACTGGAGCTGCTACGGTGGAGGAACAACTAGCAACTATGGCTCATTCCATTGAGAACCTCACAAAGACTATTGAAGAAAAGGACTTGCAAATCGCTAAACTAATGAATAAATTGGAAGTTCAGACCTTCGGTGAAACACCAATGCCATCCGGGAATCGTGCAACTTTCACACCACCACCGTCTGGGAAACCTACATCTTCCACAGTAATACTAACAGAGAATCCTAATTCTACAGCACAAGGTACTCACAGGGAGAATCCCAAACAGACGCCGATGACAGAACAAGCGACCAGTCAAAACCAGACGCCGGGGATAGAACAGGCGACTGGTCAAACCAATCATACCTCTTCTTCAGTCTCTTCATTATCTGTCGAACAATTGCAAGATATGATAACGAATATAATCCGAGCTCAATATGGTGGTGTCTCACAGAGCACTCTCATGTACTCAAAGCCCTATACAAGGAGAATCGACAGTATGAGAATGCATGTAGGATACCAACCTCCAAAGATTCAGCAATTTGACGGAAAAGGTAACCCCAAACAACACATTGCCCATTTTGTCGAGACTTGTAACAATGCCGGAACAGAGGGGGACTTACTATTCAAACAGTTTGTCCGGTCCCTTAAAGGAAACGCGTTCGAGTGGTACACTGACCTAAAGTCAGAATCAATTGATAGTTGGGACCAGATGGAACGAGAATTCTTGAACAGGTTCTATAGCACTCGTCGTACTGTTAGAATGATAGAGTTGACTAACACGAAGCAATGGAAGGATGAGCCTGTAATCGACTACATTAATCGGTGGAGAGCCCTCAGTCTTGACTGTAAGGACCGTTTGTCAGAAGTATCTGCTGTGGAGATGTGTATGCAGGGAATGCATTGGGGCCTGCTCTACATTCTGCAAGGCATAAAACCTTGCACATTTGAGGAATTGGCTACGCGTGCCCATGACATGGAGATCAGTATAAAATCCCACGACGGCAAAAGTCCCGTGACTATAGAACCACGTAAAGATAAGAAGGACTGGAAGAAGGGCGACAAGTCATCAAAAAATGCGGCTAAAGATTCAATGGCTATCTCAACCACCCCAATCAAGATATCTGTTAAAGATGACAAGAAGGATGATAAAAAGCCTCGCCAGTTTCAAGAGAGGGAGAGACAGCGTC